AAGGTGAATGGGGTGTATGAAATACGTAAAAAACTATAGAGCAGGAAAGATCAAGGAATGTTAAAGTTTCAGAGGTGAGTCGCTGTTCCACAAACTGCAACTCCTTTTTTGCTTCTGGGCTAAGGATACAAGGGCTAGTCAAGGAACTATCACCTTCTAAGGTAGAAAATAAATGGTGTAGGGCGTAGGTGGGAATGCCTAAAGTTGGGCAGAGTCAATTAATGTCTCTCAAAAGTTTTTCAAAATCATTTAAAGTCTTTAAATTTTCCCTGCGAATTTGCAATTTTTCAGGTCGAATCTGCATTTTTGATAGGCAATAGCCGAGATAGTCGACAGGCAGGTCAGCTTGAATCTTTTCTGGTGCTAGAACTAAATTATAAGAAGTTAGTTGTTGTTGGAGATCAGAAAAAGCAGCATCTCGTTCAGCCGCAGTAGGAGCTGTTAAAAGAATATTATTCATATAATGATACAACACAATAGCAGGATGTCGCAGATGCACTGGGTTCACAGCACGATTAACAAATTCCTGGCAGAGAGTAGGGCTATTCAACATGCTTTGGGGCAAATCCCGCCACTGATACCGTTCCGTAGGACGGCCATTGTTGTATTCTGGGATGGTAAAGGCAAAACACTCCTTGTCATAGGGTTGAAGAGGTATAGCGAAAAAACAGTCTTTTAAATCTATGACTAGTATTGACCATCCTCTAGGTATCATAGAAGGAAGGGGCAAACCAGGCTGTATAGGACCCATAGGTTGGATACATTTATTGATTTCTCGCAGGTCCATTAAGAAGTGCCATTTACCTGACTTCTTCCTGATGACAAGAATAGGAGAATTCCAAGGGGAAGTAGACTGTTTAATACGACCAGCAGCGAGCTGTCCAGAAACCAACACTTTTAAGGCCTTGAGCTTCTCAAGCGATAGCGGCCACTGCTCAGTCCACACAGGAGTTTCTGTTTTCCAGTGTAGGGGCAGAGCTTGAGGAATTTCCTGAGCAGTGGCAACTAGTTTAAAGAAGTAGAAGAATTTACAGAAGGCAGGGGGTTATACCCCATTTTAAGCATCATGTTTTTGACATTAGAAGTAAGGTGAGGGATAGATAAGAGTGCTCCAAATTGATGAAGGAGATCCCTGCCCCATAGGTTAATGGCAATGTCAACAATATAAAACGACAAGGAGGCTCATTGCCCGTCAGGGCCGAAGCATTTCAAGGTGTTATTGCTGCGGTAAACACACTGGGCTTGGCCTAAGCCAGATAAGACTGTAGGGACAATAGCTTTGGGCCAATCAGAAGGCCATTGAGAGAGGCTGATGATGGAAACGTCAGCACCAGTATCCACCAAACCTTCAAATTGGCGACCAGTGATAGTCAATGTGAAAACGGGGCGAGCATCTTGAATCAGGGTCTCCCAAAAAACTTTATTACCTGTGTTACCAAAGCCACCAGTTCTTTTAACATTACGTACAGCAAAAGGAGTGTAGGCCAGTAAAAGTAATTGAGCTATATGATCTCTAGCGTATATCTGAGTCGTATGAGAAACTGAAACCATAATTTGTATCTCCCCAATATAATCTGAATCAATGATTCTCAAATGAACAAAAATACCTTTAACAGTACTGCTGCTACGACCAATGATCAAACCCACTTTATCTTCCGGAAGGGGACCATATTCCTGGGTGGATAATTTGTGAACACCCCCAGCAGGTGTTAAAGTATAAGTCCTAGCGATTGCCAGATCGGCGGCTGCACTCCCAGAGGTAGCAGCATACAATTGTGTAACTTTTAGGGATTGATCTGTTGATGTGCAAGGCCGTCGCTCACTGGATACTGTTGAAGCCCCGTATTGTTGTTTGGGGGGGCCCCAGGACTGAGGGCCCCTCAAATGGTTTCCCGACGGTTGGCTTTTACTCAGAGGTGGTAGAGGATTCCCATTCCTATCGGTTTTGGAACGACACTCGCTGGCCCAATGGGGCCCCTTTCCATAACAGGTACAAATCCCTGGAGGAGTAGGCTTGGGTTTTTGGGGCTTATGTGACAAAGCCCTGCTTTTCTTTCTGCATTCTTTACATAGATGGCCAGGTTTGCCACAATTATAGCAGACAGGCCGATTACACCCCTTTTGAATAGCTCTGGCCAACAAAGAAGCATGACAAGCAGCGCCACCAACCCCAGCACAGGCTCTCACATATTTATCTAATGTAGAGCCACCGGCCTTTAAAGGTCATAGAACCTTTTGGCAATCTGGGTTGGCATTCTCAAAAGCTAAGGATTGTAAGATAATGGAGGCCACTTCAGAAGTTCCCAACCCACGTAAAACCGCTTGTTTGAAACGAGACAGAAAGTCAGTATAAGGTTCTGTGGGACTCTGCAAAGTCTTTACAAAGGATGGCGCAGACTGACCTGAAGTCTCAATCTTTTTCCAGGCTTTGAGAAAGATCAGTTTCACTTGTATTAAACATGGGTCGGTCAACGCCGCCTGCGCGGCCAAAGTAGCATATTGTCCTGACCCCGTGAGTTCATCTTCGGTGGGACCAGGAGGTTGTTGCTGGGCATTCAGCCGCGCCTGAGTTCGCACTTCCTCCGCCCACCAGCTACGCAGCTGCAACCATTGAGGGCCTTCTAAGGCTGTTTTACCAATATTTTTTCAGTCCAAGGGTATAAGAGTATTCTCATTAGAAAAGGCGTCCAGAAGACCATGAACGAAAGGGGACTGTGGACCATAAGCTTGGATGGCCTGTTTCAAATCCTTCAGGAATTTATACTGAAGGGCATGATAAGTAACATTCTGTCCTCCATTTGGAAACTGTTGATTAGGGCCAAAGGGCTGCCGCGTAATAGGAAAGACAAACGTACTGCCAGAGGGGCCGCCCAAAGGGAGTGTATCCCCAAAATCAGGAGGTGAAGGAAAATCATCATCTGGGCCATTAGGGCTATTAGGAATCTGAAAAGAAGCCCCTGCTAATGGGACTGGCGGCAGCGGCGACAAAGAAACAGGATAAGCCACAGGCCACTGTCGGGGCTGTGGGGCTAGTAATAATGGAGGGTAAACACTTCTTTAATAGGGTATTAAGTTCTGCTATTTTAGTGTTAGGGGATAAAGAGTTGGCCTTTTTCTGACTATCCATCGGAGGAGTCACCTCTGGGATCTCCTCAGGGGGAGGGGGATCATGATCATCCAGTTCTTCCCCATTCTGTGACTCAGCTTTTTCAGAGTCTGTTTCCAATAACTGTAGCGCTTGGGTTATGGCATTACAAACAGTCCAAATTTTTTAATTAATCGTGTCGCCTCGTTGGTGGGCTACACAAAAAGCCTTAACAACTTGTTGCTAGCTACGCAAATCTAACTGAACTTGGGACTGAAACTGAAACCAATAGCAGTGCTGCTGCACCAAGCCAAACAATTGCTTCAAAGTAATATCTTTAACTTTCACTCCCACCGGATGTAAAAGTCCCTGGACTAACTTTTGATATTCTCGTTCGGCAGCTGAAGGGGAATTCCCCATAATGCCAGAGGTCCTACTGTTGGCTGCCACTTACCAAAGAGGTCCCGCTCCGGTTCCTGGGTCCCGAATGATGCAGACCCTGCTCGCTGTGCCACTTGCCGTGGCCTGTACGGGGACGAGGAATGAACACAGAGACAAAGAGACGCACACACACAAAGACGGTACAAGACTGCAGTGCCTTCCTGCCGCAGTTTCTTTATTTTTAACACAGCCTGTTCCGCAACTGTCCCACCGCGATTTCCTTGTTCCCACACTGTCCCTACTCAGCACATCCTATTCCTTGTTGTTTTGTCTCTGGCGAGCTGATGTTTGCATTCTGAACTCTCCAGCCCCCCCTGTTTGCAGGGTCAGGGTGCCCTGGCTCGCGTGCAAGCCCACAGGCATGTTCTCAGAACAAAACAACAAGGAAATGTTCCTAGGTCCGGGCCACATATGACCCGAAATGTCCTCTATGACACAGAGTTTCAAGGGAAGGGCATTGCCAGAGTACAGCAAAAGCCAGGCCCTGAGCAGGAATACGAATTCCTTATTTTTCTGAAAAGGTAAAAAACATCCCAAAGAAAGAGCTCTCTGTGTTTGGTGTGTTAAGGATTCTCTGTTGTTGTTTTAATGTTTATAAAGCCCAGTGCTGTAAATTTCTCTCTATTGCTTATATATTTGATAATAAATTTCATTCAGGGATCTAAGTCTGTTACAAAGGTGCCATCCTGTCTAAATGCCACTAAAAATACCTCTTGCCTTGTCACAAAGGCATGGAATCCCATTCTCAAGAGCCAAAGTTGTTCATTCCAGAAGGAGAGAGGAGGCTGGATGAAAAGTACCCCCGGGTTTAAATCCGCACCGCATTCCCCCACCCACAAGCAGTAACAGGCTGCCTAGGATGTGCAGCTGGGAGGGTCCTAAGGGGACAGAGAGAGCAGCTGCAGAAGACACCTCTGGTGTTCTCAACTTTTAGCCCCAGCTGTTACAGAACTGGTATCTCCCCTACACATCCAGCTCTGGTGGAGACAGAAATGACAGTCTCCTCCACAATGGGGAGACTGAGACTCAGAGAAGTGGGGGCTCTGCCCAGGGTCATGCAAAAAGCCAACTCTGATTCCTGAGCCACATGCCAGGCCAGGGACCACATGGGGTAGAGCCCATACTCCATTTCAGGAAATGGGCTTGTTGATTTTTCATTTACACAAAAATGAAAAATAAATACCAGATATTCAAAAACATATTGCAACACATCTTGCTGGAACTTAAAAGTGCATTCTAACTAAAAAAGTTAAATTAGAAAAATCCACATAGCAAAAAAGATGTTTTGAATGAAAATGCACTGTTTCTGTTTCACACACACATACACAAACAATATCTCGTTTCTTCTTCAGGGAGCAGCTGTGAAGGAAATTGGGGGCGGAGAATGGACACAACATCCCATCTTTGTGTTTGGTGCAGAGCTGAGCTTTCAGGCCAGCCTTCCTGAACTGTGGGGTGTGGCATGCATGAAAATTAAACATCAATGACCTGATGAAGCTTATAAAATAGCTTGGGAGAAGCCAGCCACCAAGACAGGCATCTCAAATTGGAAGATTTTGCATGTGGACACTGCCTTCAACTTGATTTAAAAAAAGGTATGTACTGTAGTTTTAATATTCATTAATGATAAATAATGCTTAAAATAGAGACAGTCTTGACTTCCCATTGCCTCTTTTCAGCTAAATATAGTAACTACCACTGACTGAGGGCTTGTGCCAGGAGCTTTACAGTCTTGGTCTCATTTTCTCTCAAACACATTTACAAGGTAGGCATTCTTAGAGCCATTCTTCAGGTGAGAAAATAGGTTCAGATCCTCTAGCAACAGGTCTAAGATGAAATCAAACCCAATGTTGACTCATCCCAAAGTCTTTTGCTTACACTATGTCCTCCCCTTACCAAATGAGACAATGAGAACATTTTCCATGCACCAGCACTGCACTAGATGAATTCTCAGGGAGTTATCCAACTATGCATTACAGTAAAATTATCTGAAAACTGGAATTAATTGTATGAATAGAAAGTGCATTTAACAATATGGCATAAAAATATTGTCTTCAGAAGCTAAATTTCCTGTTATATTCAATAGCTAAAAGAGTATTTAAGACCTATTGTAGAAACATAGTTTATTTTATCATGTGAAATCTTAAAATCTAGCCCTTAATATTCTGCAGCTCCTTGAGATCAGGGACTATGTCCACAGTACCCCCCAGGCACTGAGGACATAGGCTCTTGGGAGACCTGGGCTTAAATTCTTACCAGGAGGTAACGTGGGCAAATTAACTTCATTGAGTATAAAATGTCAGCGTGGTCACTTCCAGATGAGATGTTTT